ATAGATAGATAGATAGATAGATAGATAGATAGATAGATAGATAGATATAGAGAAACACATAATGTGTATACATGTACAATAATAAGTAAAAGATGAATTTGGAAAAAAAAGGGGACAAGAGTATTGTAGATGAAGTGCTTATGTATGAATTTCTCAAAGGCTAAGATTATAAAAAATCTATTTTTTTCTACTTTGTAATGAAAAATGGTAGAAATTGAGAATAGTGACACATATATTTAGAAGTAATGATTCTCAGGGCTTCTATTACTAAGTAAATGATTGCTTTTGTGACTCTTTGGGTGAGTGAAGAGGGTAAATGTAAATAGTTTTGATCTTGTGATCTCTGAATCAGAGTGTGGCTATAAAATCACAGGACAGGGTGAAAATTGTCATGCAGGACAGGTCAGATCCTGCTTCTGAAATAAAGTGGCTAACATCACAGCTGCAGGCTTCTCTATATAAGTAGGCAGGCGGAGCGATGCAGTACTCAAGGCTGTTCTTGGCTTTGATGCTGGGGTAAGTTATATTAGTCCTGTGGTTCAGAATAGCTTCAGGGTTCCAACCAAATGAACTGCATGTAAGGAATTTCTGTATCTATCTTTTTCCAAGGGATTTTTTCAGCTAATGTGCAGTAAAAGTTGCTGTATTTACTTCCATAAAATATGTTGGAAAAAGTTCAAGAATTTAAAGTACCCAGGAGAAAATGACCAGGTATTGCCTTCTCTCCTTTCTTAAAGCTGCCATACCACAGCATATCACTTCCTCTTTCCCTTGTCCTTTTTGTTGTCTTCTTTTCATTCACTCTCCTTCCTCTTTCTTTCCCTCCCTTTTACTCTCAGTTCTTTCTGGTGGTTATCTTCTTGTCACTCTTAGTTTAATAGTTTCCATCTGTTTTTAAAGATGGAAAATGAGAAATGTAGTGTTTAGATAGGAAATTATTTCTTTTTAGTTATGTTGGTCATGTGATAAATTGAGTTGTTTACCACTAACATTAAAGTGAAATTCAGGGCTCTATTCTTTATTATTTGGTTTTTTTTTTTTTTTTTGGAAATAGTTGCTTTATGACTTTAAGTTCTACAAGTTTTATATTATGTAAAAAAGGAAAAGCCTTTCCCCAGTTTTGGTACAGTAGAAAGACCATTTATGGAGGTGGCAAATTTGAGATCAAATCTAGTTTGAGCCACTTACTAGTTTTATTACATTAGACTGGTAACTTCATCACCACGATTAATATTTCTAAGCTCTAAAATGATGTTAAAGTGTACATATTTCAGTGTGTGTGTGTGTGTGTGTGTGTGTGTGTGTGTGTGTGTGTGTGTCAGAATGCACAGACGAGAAGTAAACTGGCATTTCATGCTCTAAAAGTAAAGCATAAAAGGCATTACTACTCATATTTAAGTTATATATAAATTCTTTTGAGTTCATATAGTTGATGGAGCAATTGATATTTTTCAGTAGTAGACAGAAAAGCACAGGAAATAGAAGTTGACCAGAGGAAATTGTAAGATCAGATCCAGAGAATTCATGGTTTTTATTCTTCCCTTTTCTCTGAGACCCTTAAGTAGCTTATAGAAATTCAGTACTTTCTGAGCTCAGTCAGTACTTGTCATTAGAGCTTTCCACAGTTAACATCTACACTTTAGGCTGTAATAGAGCTCATTAAAGGGTTGAAGTCTAAATAATGTAATTAAATGTTATGTGATACATACACATTGATAATATAAAATACTTCGACCATTCTTAACTGTTTACTCACATCCTTCAGTTTGTCATATAACATTATCTGCTTCATTTCTTTTGTGGCTCAGAATTGTACAGAACTGATGCTCTATTTTTACTGTTTTTCTATGAACAATTTTAGAGTTTTAGTGGGAAAAAATGTTTGAAAGAAGGATGTGCAGGTGACATGGTAAGGATGCTGCAATGTGATGTGCCTGGAATTGTCAAAATTTTGGTGAGTGCTTTTTCTTCTGACATTTTTCTTCCCAACCTTCTATGTAGTACTATTCTTGCCATAAAATTGATTTGTTAGCAATAATAATAGGATCCTAACTCTATTTTAGTTTTGGTGAGTAAGCTTCCTGCCCTTTGTAGTCTTCTTTTACTTGGTATGTTTGAGTCATCTTCAAGTATAAAAAAACTAGAAATAGAAACAGGTAAATATATCATCAGTGAACTGCTGTTGGGTATGTAGACCAAGAGTGATAACGTGGGATAATTTAACTACTTTTTTCCATCTTAAATTAAGAATAGCTTTAGAAGTTTTGAATCAATTTTTTCTCTTTTGGTTGACCTGGGAGTTGAATCAGGGGACTCAGGCATGCTCAGAGTGCACTCTACTGCTGAGCTATATCTCCAGGCCCTGAACCTGTTTAGTCTGTAAATAACTTTCTAATGTTTGTTTAACATTGCATATATTACCTGTTAAATAAAGCATAGTACTCATTTTAGTTTTTTTTTTTTTTTAATCTAATGAAGTTTGTTGGATGGAGAGAGAGAAAGAGAAAAAGAGAGAGGGAGAGAAATGTGGGGGGCCAACAGAGGGAGGGGAGAGAAAGCAAGAGAAAGGAAGAGCAAGAGAGCAAGAACTACATTTTAGTTTTTAATTAGGATCATATCTTAATTTTTTTCATTTAAGGTAAATAGACTAAAATTAGAATTATGAATGAATTTTATTTTTATTATTTATCTAATTATTTATTGACTTATGCTTCTATATTTTAACATTTGGCATTCAAACCATATGATAATGTAAAATTGGCTGCTTTTAACTATGGTTTATTTGAGTGGTATTTTTTTTTATTTCTTAGTTTTTAATTTTGTCATTTGTTTTACAGTCAATGTGATTTTATTCTAATTTTCTTTTTGTAAATGTGGAAGCTAAGAGCTTATGGAATTTTGAAAATTGAACTATTTTAGGGCTTTTTTTCCTCATTACTTGCAGTTTGAAGTGGTGAGAAAGGATGAATATGTAACCATTGAAAATTTAGGAGCAAGGTAAGCTTGAAATAAAATACTCTGTTACTTCTTTTTTTCTTCTGAGCATGCATGTGGTTTAGTTGCTGATTCTGTGTCCTGTCAGTCTTAGAGTACCTATTTAAGAGTATTCAGTAAGAAAAAATATAACAAATTCTCGTTGTTACCCTTCTTTTCCTTCTTCTGTGGATATTTACATTTTAAAACAAGGAAGGAAAAATTGTATGGTTGCCACTCAGTGTAAAACTAATCATTTCCTGAACACAAACACATTTTTTAACATAATGTAAGTTTATTGTTACAATGAAAAAACTTTATTTTTCAAGGCTGTGTAGGCCTTAAAGCTTATGGTAAATTTAAAATCTTTCTATTTCTCAGGTGAGAAAAACATGTTGCTGAATAACATTGATGTGTATGTTAAGCAACACCTTTATAGAGGCTCAGAGTATTGCTATTGAAATTAGAAGCTACAATAAAAAAAGGTTCTTCCAACCCATCCCTTCTTTTTTTTCTTACATATTATTTGTAGGGGGGGTACAAACACACACATGATCTGTATTGAATTGATTTTTTTGTGTGTGTGTGTGTGTAGGGTGACAGATGCAAATATTTTTCTATATGTAGGTGTCCAGTTTTTCTTTTTGTTGTTTTTGAGATTTACTTGTGTTTTTGTTTATTGTTAAATTACATGTATATGTAGTGTCTGTGTAGGTATGTGCCTGTGTGAGTACATTTTTTTTAAGTTAGCAGATTTTTTAATATTTTTAAAATTTATTACAATTTTGTATACCAGGTGTAACCCTCTCCCTCATCCCTCTCAATCCTGCCCTCCATTCCTCTTCTCTTCCCATGACCCTACTCCAGTCCACTGATAGGGGAGTTTTCTTTTTTTTTTTTTTTTAATTTTATTTTTTCTTATCAGTTACATTTTATTAACTCTGAATCCCAGCCGTATCCCGCTCCCTCATTCCCTCCCAATCCCACCCTCCCTCCCTCATCTCCACCCTGCCCCTTTCCAAGTCCACTGATGGGGGAGACCTCCTCCCCATTCATTCGATCCTATTTTATCAGGTATCTTCAGGACTGGCTGCAAAGCCTTCCTCTGTGGCCTAACAGGACTGCTCCTCCCTTGGGGGGTCGGGAGGTCAAAGAGCCAGTCATTGAGTTCCTGTTAGACATAGTCCTTGTTCCCCTCACTATGGGAAACCAATTAGTTACTGAGCTACCATGAGCTACATCTGAGCAGAAGTTCTAGGTTATATCCATACGTGGTCCTTGGTTGAATGTCAGTCTCAGAAAAGACCCTGTGCCCAGATATATTTGGTCCTTGTGGAACTCCTATCCTTTCCCCATCATACTAACTCCCCTTCTTTCATATGATTCCCTGTACTCTGCCGAAGGTTTGGTCATGAGTCTTTGTATCTGCATTGAAAACACTGCTAGTTAGAGTCTTTCAGATGCGCTCAATAGACTCCTGTCATACGTTCAATGCACATCCCATCTGTCTTTCTAAACGAGGATTGATCATCTTACCCCATGTCCGCTCTCTTGATTATATTTTTTAGGTGTATAGATTTCATTATGTTTATCATATCTTATAGGTCTATATAAGTGAATATATACCATGTTTGTCTTTCTCCTTCTGGGATATTTCACTCAGAATGATCTTTTCTAGATCCCACCACTTGCCTGCAAATTTCATGATTTCCTTGTTTTTGATTGCTGAGTGGTATTCCATTGTGTAAAAATACCACAATTTCTGTATCCATTCCTCCGTTGATGGACATCTGGGTTGTTTCCAGGTTCTGGCTATTACAAATAAAGCTGCTATAAACATGGTTGAGCAAGTATGCCTTTTGTGTACTTGAGCAAAGTTTGGATATATACCTAGCAGTGGTATAGCTGGGTCTTGAGGAAGCACTATTCCTAATTGTCTGAGAAAGCGCCAGATAGATTTCCAGAGTGGTTGTACCAGTTTACATTCCCACCAACAGTGGAAGAGGGTTCTCCTTTCTCCACAACCTCTCCAGCATGTGTTGTCACTTGAGTTTTTCATCTTGGCCAATCTGATGGGTATAAGGTGAAATCTCAGGGTCGTTTTGATTTGCATTTCCCTGATGACTAAGGATGTTGAGGATTTCTTTGTTTTTCTGCCATTCGATATTCCTCTGTCGAGAATTCTGTTTAGCTCTGTTCCCCATTTTTTAATTGGATTACTTGGTTTGCTGCTTTTCAGCTTCTTTATTTCTTTGTATATACTGGATATTAGTCCTCTGTCAGATAAAGGGTTAGTGAAGATTCTTTTCCAATCTGTAGGCAGTCGTTTTGTTTTGATGATGGTGTCCTTTGCTTTACAGAAGCTTTTCAGTTTCATGAGGTCCCATTTATTGATTGTTGCTCTTAGAGCCTGTGCTGTTGGTGTTCTGTTCAGGAAGTTGCCAATGAGTTCTAGGCTGTTCCCCACTTTTTCTTCTAACAGATTTAGAGTATCTGGTTTTATGTTGAGGTCTTTGATCTACTTGGAATTTAGTTTTGTGAAGGGTGATAAATATGGATCTATATTCATTTTTCTGCATGTAGACATCCATTTGGACCAGCACCATTTGTTGAAGATGCTGTCTTTTTTCCATTGAATGGTTTTGGCTTCTTTGTAAAAAATCGAATATTCATAGGTGTGTGGGTTTATTTCTGGGTCTTCTATGTGGTTCCATTGATCCTCCTTTCTGTTTCTGTGCCAGTACCATGCAGTTTTTATTACTATTGCTCTGTAGTACAACTTGAGATCGGGGATGGAGATACCTCCAGATGATCTGTTGTTATACAGGATTGTTTTGGAAAATCTGGGTTTTTTGGTTCTCCATATGAAGCTCAGAATCTTTCTTTTAAGGTCTGTAAAGAATTGAGTTGGTAGTTTGATGGGAATTGCATTGAATCTGTAGATTGCTTTTGGCAGGATGGCCATTTTCACAATGTTAATCCTACTAATCCATGAGCACGGGAGATCTTTCCATCTTCTGAGATCTTCTTCAATTTCTTTCTTCAGAGACTTGAAGTTTTTCTCAAACAGGTCTTTCACTTGCTTCGTTAGTGTCACCCCAAGGTACTTTATGTTATTAGTGGCTATTGTATAGGCTTTCTCTTTGTTTTCAGATTATTTCTAGGTTGAGAACAAAACACATAATGTTGTTTATAGTCCCAAAACTTAGTCTAACTATTTCATTCTTTCATTATAACATTTTATTTTTCTAATTGCAGTTACAAGAAGTTTATGTCCCTGGAATTAACTGATACTGATATTAGGCCGAAATTCAATTTAAAATTAAATACAAAAGGTATTCCTTTTTTATATATATTTTTATATTATTAACTTTTTCTTTACTGTCTGTAAAGTATCATTTTGTTGGCAGTTGTGAAATTATTTTATGGTTACTATTCATAAGTTTCAGGTTTATAACACCAAATAGTACTTGCTGCATATTAGAACTCATAGACAAAAAAATCAGCAAGAATATGGCTCTCATATTACTTTGGCATTCTGTGGAGAAATGCTAACTCTGAAACATGTTTGTGAGTATACAGTAATATTTGTCTAAGGAAAGTTTTCATCCAACCCTTTTCTTGCTACATTCTCTCTTAAAATGTGTTAGCAATTAAAATGGAAGGAATGTACATTTTGGAGCATGGAGCAGATTGCTCTAAATCCACATACCAATAACTCTTTAGGGTGTACTAGGAAGTAGTCTGTTTAGCACTTGGAAACCATATAGGTCCCTCTTCCAAAAAACCCAAGAGATGTTGGGGTCAGCCTTTTTTACTAGGGAGACTAGATGTCCCTAATGGTAGCCTGCTCTGCATTTGACAGTTTAAAGAAGGCCTTCTGACACATTTACTCTTAAATTGTGTTTTCACAGTGCTTAATATCAAGTATATTAAGCAAAGTTATTAATTAAAAAATCTCTTAAAATACAAACCATGAAGAATAAAATAATAAAGCTAGTTTTTATGATAAACATTTTATTACTTATACAAAAACTACATACTATCATTGATTGAATTCTCATGACTTTCAGCTTGCTTTCTTCTTGAAGTAATGTTTAAACTGGAAAATACTAAATAGTTTAGTCTGCCTCATTCCATTTCATTGTTTAAATACCAGTGTAATTACTCAGTATATTAGGTCATGCTGCTTAAATTTTATCATCTGGTGATTAAAAAAAAAGTCAATCAAACAAACAAAACCTCAGGTGTCCATTCAATGGGTAAATTTGCAATGGTCCCCAGGATTCTGCATGACTCATAGGTCTCAGGTAGTTGCTAATACTTTTGGTCTGTGGACTGCACTTTGATTAGCAACTTCTTTTTTCTTTTTTTTTTTTTTTTTTTGTTTTTTTTGGGGGGAGGTCCAAATTTTTATTTTTTATATTAATTACAGTTTATTCACTTTGTATCCCAGCTGTAGCCCCCTCCTTCATTCCCTCCCAATCCCCACCTACCCTTCCTCATCTCCTCCCTACTTCTCTCTAAGTCCACTGATAGGGTAGGTCCTCATCAGAACTGGCTGCATTGTCTTCCTCTGTGGCCTAGCAAGGCTGCTCCTCTCTTGGGGGTGGGGAGAATCAAAGAGCCAGCCATTGAGTTCATGTCAGAGATAGTTCCTGTCGCCCCTACTAGGGAAACCCACTTGGATACTGAGCTGCCATGGGCTATGTCTGAGCAGGGGTTCTAGGTTATCTCCATGCATGGTCCTTGGTTGGAAAATCAGTCTTAGAAAAGACCCTTTTGCCCAGATATATTTGGTCCTTGTGGAGCTCCTGTCCTCTCCATTTCTTACTAACTCCCCCTTTGATATGATTCCCTGTACTCTGCCCAAGGTTTAGTTATGAGTCTCAACATCTGCTTTGATACACTGTGTAGCAACTTCTTAGCTAACTATGTTGACTAGTATATATCTGAGCTATCTAATATGATAGACATCAATATGTAGTTAAATTTACTTTAACATCAAATAACCTTTTATTTTTTATGTATGTAGAATTTAAGTATCTAATCTTATTTTTTTCTTTTTTAATTTACTTTACATCCCAAGGGTGCCCCCTCTCTCCTCTTCTTCCAGTCTCCCCAATCTCCTTCTCCTTTTCTTCCTACTCTTTCCACCAGAAAAAGGGAGCCCCCTCTCTCCTCGTATCAACCTTCCCCAGCATGTCAAATCACATCAGGACTGAGCATATCTTCATCCCCTGAAGCCAGGCAAGATAGCACTGTCAGAGGGAAGTGATCCAAAAGCAGGCAATAGAGTCATGTTAGAAACAGCACCACCCTCCACTCACCAGGCACCCCATGTGAAGACCAAGTCACCCATCAGCTACATGTGTGCAGGGGGCATAGGTCCAGACCATGCATGCTCCTTAATTGATGTCTCAGTCTCTGAAAACTCCCATAGGACTGGGTTAGTTGTCTTTGTGGGTCTTCTTCTGAGGTTCCTGTCCTCTCCATGTTCTTTTATCTTTCCCCAACACTTCCACAGGACCCCCAGAGCTCTACCTCATGGCTTGGCTGCAAGTCCCAGCATCTGTCTCAATCCTCTGCTGGCTGAACACTCCCAGATGACAGTTAAATTAGGCTCCTTTCTGAAAGCATAACAAATTATCATTATTACTGTCAAGGGCTGGCTCTTTACCCTGGGGTGGGTCTCAGGTTGGGCCAGTTATTGATTGGACTTTCCCTCAAACTCTGTTCCCTCTTATCCTTGCACTTCTTATAGGCAGGGTAATTTTTGGATCCCAGGTTTTGTCAGTGGATTGTTGTTCCCCTCCTTCCACTCATCTTGCCTGCCTAAGAAGTGGTCACTTTAGTCTATATGTCCTCTTGTTAGAAGTCTCATATAGAGTCACACCCATATCCTCCTAGGAGCCTACCCTGTCTCAGGCCTCCAGCTTTGTAAAGAGATGTCTCCCCTTAGTTTCCCTTCTTGTTCCGAGCCTTCTCTGTGCCACCCCCGTTCTCCCCACATCTGATCCCCACTCTCACCATTTCATCTCCTGCTCAGTTTCTGTCTTCATCCACTTCTGCTGTCTATTCTATTTCCCCTTCTGAGTGACATTCAGACACCTTCTCTTGGGCCTTCCTTGTAACTTAGCTTCTTTGGTTCTGTTGATTGTAGTATGGTTATCCTGTACTATACATCTAAAATCCACTTATAAGTGAGTACATACCATGTGCATCTTTCTGGGTCTGGGTTACCTCACTTAGGATGATCTTTTCTAGTTCCATCCATTTGCTTGCAAATTGTATGATTTCCCTGTTTTTAATTGCCAAGTTTATTCCATTGTGTAAATGTACTACAGTTTCTGTATCTGTTTTACAGTTGAGGGACATTTAGGTTGTTTCCAGTTTCTGGCTATTATGAAAAAGCCACTATCAACATAGTTAAGCAAATGTCCTTATATGACGAAGGATTTTTGAGTATTTGACCAGGAGTGGTGTAGCTGGGTCTTGAGGTAGAACTATTCCCAGTTTTCTGAGAAATTGCCAGATTGATTTCTAGAGAGGATCAAATAATCTTTAAAGCTTAGCTGTTGGTCACTCAGAAAATATTATTCAGTGAATGGTAGACTGTGCATGTACCAATTTTGTCACAGTACTAGTTTGGGACAGTACTAGTTTCATGGAAAATAAAAATAAAATTATTTATATAAATTATAATTAAAACTAGTAATTACTATTCCTGACTAATCTAGGATTTCCAGAACTACTTTGCCATTATGTTCCCAAAGTTAATTTGCTTAAATAAAATCGTAGATGCATTGAAAGCCTTCTATGTTAGAAGAATCTGCAATTCCTTCTAGCTAGGAGCATGCTCTTTTTGTCTGGAGTTTTTGATAGCTAGACAGAGAGCAGCATGCTTATTGAGCACTGACTATGGTAAAATTCCTCTGTACTTTATTCCTTGAAACAATTCCTGAATTCCTGCTCTATAGGAACATAGGGTGCAATGTGAGAGACCACAAAAAAAAAAAAAAAAAAAGCAGAAAAAAAAACCATTAATGTGGATTGTTTTGACTTCTCCAAATTCATTTTCAGATGAAATGCCTATCTTCAAACTTGATTATAATTATTTCTATCATCTGCTTCATATAATTATTATTTCTGGTACTGACATTGTCCGGGAAATATTTGATGAGGCTATGCCACCCACTCTTTTGAAAAAAGAGCTGCTTATACACAAGAATGTGCTGGAACCCTACTACAATCATCTGTGGACCAATCACCCTTTGGGTGGATCATGGCATCTGCTTTATCCCCCAAACAAGGAGCTACCACAGTCCAAACAATTTGACCTATGCCTCTTATTAGCGCTCATTAAACATCTGAATGTATTCCCTGCACCCAGAAAAGGCTGGGATATGGAACCACCGTCTTCTGATCTCTCTAAGTCTGCAGACATTCTCAGGCTCTGCAAGTACAGAGATATCCTCCTCAGTGAGATTCTGATGAATGGGCTCACTGAGTTACAGTTCCATTCAATTTGGAAAAAAGTTTCTGATATTCTTCTGCGCCTTGGGATGAAACAAGAGGATATCGACCAAGTCAAGGAGAATCCCATTGAGAATATATCCCTTGATTATCATCAGCTGTCAATTTATCTAGGCATACCAGTACCAGAAATCATCCAGAGGATGTTATCCTGCTATCAACAAGGTACTAAATGATTACTTACAATAGCCAGAAAATCATTTTTGAGTGTCTGTTCTGTGTTCTATTTAGTGTTTTAGAGCCTTTTTTCATTATGAAAAGACACTGAGTTTTATGATACTAGATATTAGAGAAAATTAGAAAGGAATCCTTGAGGTATAATTTAAAAGCCTTAAAATATATTTATATATGTATATGTATATAAAATGTGTGCATACACACACACACACATTTGGGTAGAAGGCTCTGAGTACTAATTAAGTCTAGAGCATTTCAAGCTATTTTCAGTTAAAGAGCTTTATGGTCAAATACCTTTAACAGAGGCTTTCATGATGCCTTTTTATCTCCTTTCTCAATTATTAAAGTTTCAGTTTTCATTTACAGGTCCAGCAACATCCATTATCCCCACAATGTCTGCATGAATATTATTTCTTTTTACTTTATATTTTTACTTTTTACTTTACTATTTATTCTCTAGGGCCTAATAAAGCCTGTTATATATTGCATATGCTCAGTAGACTAATAGACAAGGACAGGGTATGGAGTTGCGACCAGGGTAATCTGGATGTCTTGAAAGGCTCAAACCTTTAGTGGAAACTTTATGTACATTTCATGAATATCCCTTCATAGTCTTAGACTATAAATAAAAATTGCTGCTCAGTTGAAAGTGCTTGTTGTGGTGATCGTGGCTATACAGCTGCAACTGATACATCTGTTACATGACTCCTGCACCCAAGACCAAGGGAACATTCCAGAAGAGGGGCCAGAAAGATCTAAGAGTCAGAAGACCAAGAAAATTGCTGCTAGATTGTGTTTTATAATAATGACAGAGACGCTTCACCTATGACTCCTTAACAATATAACTAAATCAAGAACTGAAGGGTACAACACAAATATACATGCTAGTGTGGAAAGAAAAAAAAATATCATAGGCCCCACCTCTAGACAAAGAACAGTATACAACTAAGGGACTGATGAGAGTTGGAGAAATAATTTTTCCCTGAAATGAGTTCCCTAATTGATTGTGCAGTGTAAGATGGTAAGCGCTGAAGTCACATACAAGTAATACTAAGTGGATTGAGCAGGTTTATTTATACACATGCATATATGACAATAAGTGCTAAAGAAAGAGGCTGTGATTTCAAGAGGAAGGAAATGTGGAGGAGCTTGGCATAAGGGGGAGGGCAGAGAAGGGCAAGATGATGTAATTGTATTTCACTTTAAGAAAATAAAATGTTTCTTGATGTTCTGAGACTAAACTATTATGAAATGTCTTTAAAAGAAACAAAATAAAACCTTTTGCTTCTTAAATCAAGGGTTTCTAGCTATTATTTGGTAGTCTAGATTGTACCTTGTCTAAACTGCATTAGTGAGTAGTGCTGGTTTTTTCTAAATAGTTATGGAATAAATTAATGCTCTGTAAAAGTTTTCTGGCTTTTGTTAATCCTGATTAGATATTGGTTGTTTGTTCTTGCAATTACAATCTATTTTTTTTTTTCTGTTTGCCATAGGAATTGCTCTACAGTCAATAACAGGCACTCAGCGTAAGTAATTTTAAACTCAAAATGCATAAGTGGCCTTTTAACACAGAATCCCTAAGGCATAAATATGTTGTTGACATGTGTTTAGATAAACTATACAATAAATTTTTCTGTACTTCATTCTTTGAAACAGTTCCTGCCCTACAGGAACATAGGATGCAATACGAGAGACCTGAAAGCTTAGAAAATCATATGCTCAGCTTACTGTTGTTCAGCTGAACCTCGTATGCCTTAATCTAACTTGAATTAAACATTTGCCACAAGGCTTACCCAAGGATGATGTTCAGATTTTCATGCTCAGTACTTTAGAGGGTTAAAATGCCTGTCTGCTCTGCTTGCTTTTCTCTGCTGTTTTGTGTGGCTTTATTGTATTTACAAGCCAAGAAGGACAGTAATGAATTCCTTGCTATTTTTCACTTCCTCTTTTTTAATTGTTTTTTTTATTTTTGTTGTTGTTGTTCTTGTAAACAATGTTGCCCAAGATATGTCCAAGCAAACTTTCTTGTATTAGCCTTTCAAGTATCTGAATATTTGACTCCCTGCTTGGTTTAGTAAGTCCCATTTGGGGGCTCCAAACAATAATTTGGGTGTGGGGAGTGAGGAGATTGATCAGTGATCAGTGGATAAGAGCACTTGCTAAGGACCATACTTCAGTTTCTATCACCTCTATCAGGCTGCTCACAACCACCTATATCTCCAGCTCCAAGAGAATTCATACTTTTTTCTTGCTTCTGTGGACATACACACACACACAGTACAAGCATTTGCATGCACACACAAAATCTTAAATAAGTATAAATTAAAAATGTAATTTATATTCTAAACTTAAAATGATTCTTTAGAAAACAGTACCATGGGTCTGCCTGAGGTTAAATGTTGGGACATCTCTGAGGAAGTTGTAAGAGTGAATGTTTGGGACAATAAGAAGAGCAAAGATTCAAAGAATTAATAATATGGCACAGTTACCAATCTTATGAAAAAATAAGGGAAAATGTATGTAGCTTTTGCTTGTTTTATATTTTATATTTATATCCTATAAAATAATAATAGTTGCACTTCTAATTGGGTCGATGGCCGAATTTAGTACCGTAGTACTTAGATTGTACTTACATTCAAAAGTACCTAAATCTACTTGAAACCTACAGAAATATCAATGCAGTTTCATAGTGTTTTGGCTTTCACTAATTGGTTCCAAGCTCATTTGCATGCCTGTTAATTGTGGGTAAATAGGCATTGCAGTTTTTATACAGCAATAGCAAGAGTTTGGGTATGATTGTTGCCATGGTGAAAATTTAGAAGTCAGAGGACAACTTGCTGGAGTTGGTTCCTTCCACATGGAAATGTGGACTCAGGGAGTCAGGCTCAGGTCAGTAGGCCTAAAGGCAAAAGCCTCTAACCACTGCACTATCTTGCTGGCCTAGCAGATATAATTATAACAAAAGTCTAAACTTTTTAACACTTTGCCACTAGATTTTGAATTTTTCTCTTTGTTATTTAGGTATTGACATAGAAGAGTTACAGAATGATGAAGAAGAATTGAGTCCACCTGTGATGGAATATAATATAAATGTGCAATCAAACACTGAACTACAGTTAGCAGAAATAAATAAAGAAATAGCCTCAATACCTAGTGAATCTTCAACAGAATCTATTAAAGATCTCCAAGAGGTAGAAGGTTTGATATTTGACTATGGAGAACATACTTGGCGCTTTCACATGTTGCATGTACGACACCCAGAGCATTGGAGGCAGTAGTGTTCATACAGAGCCCGGCTAGGAGTGATTCCCCATTCCTGTAGCTTCTTCAGTAATGATTTTGCCAAAAGTCAAGCACTGTGTTAGCTTTTGTAGTGAATTTTGTAGTGCCAACCAATAAAAGTACACTTTAGAAGGAAAGAAAAGAGATAGAAAAAATAAGAAAAAGGAGGTATTTTAGTACCTCTAACAGAAGAGGAGTTTAAATCAGCTAGATAAAATCAGAGTGCTAAGCTGTTAGCTACCTTATAGACTCTTAATTTACTCTTGGGCTAAAACTTTTTTAACTTTATGGACATAATTGTTGCTCTTTAAAAAGTTTCCTAATCATTTGTTTTGTTATTGTTGTTTTATTTTGTTTGTTTGTTTGTTTGTTTATTTTTATTATTTTTATTTTTTATTAATTACAGTTTATTCACTTTGTATCCCCCCATAAGTCCCTCCCTCCTCCCCTCCCAGCCCTGCCCTCCCTCCCCCTTCTTCTCCTTGCCCGTCCCAAGTCCACTAGTAGGGGAGGTCCTCCTCTCCTTCCTTCTGATCTTACTCTATCAGATCCCATCAGGAATGGCTGCATTGTCATCATCTGTGGCCTGGTAGGGCTGCTCTCCCCTCAGGGGGAGGTGATCAAAGAACAGGCCTATCAAATTATGTCAGAGGCAGTCCCTCTTCCCATTACTATGGAACCCCGCTTGGATACTACGCTGTCATGGACTACATCTGTGCAGGGGTTCTAGGTTATCTCAATGCATGTTCCTTGGTTGGAATGAGTCCCTGGGGAGACCCCTGTGTTCAGATTTTCTGGTTCTGTTGCTCTCCATGTGGGGTGCCTGTCCTCTCCAGATCTTATTATTTCCCACTTCTTACTTAAGATTCCATGCACTTTGCTCATCAATTGGCCTTAAGTCTCAGTGTCTGCTTTGATAGTCTGTAGGGCAGAGCCTTTCAGAGGCCCTCTGTGGCAGGTTCCTAACTTGTTTCCTATTTTCTTCTTCTGATGTCTATCCTCTTTGCCTTTCAGGATGGGGATTGAGCGTTTTAGTCAGGGTCTGCTCTATTGATTAGTTTCTTTAGATGTTCAGGGTTTTAGTAGGTTTATACTATGTTATATGTCTATATAGTGAGTATATACCGTGTGTGGCTTTCTGCTTCTGGGACAGCTCACTCAGAATGATCCTTTCCAAGTCCCACCATTTACCTGCAAATTTCATGATTTCCTTATTTTTCATTGCAGAGTAATACACGATTGTGTATATGTACCACAATTTCTGCATCCATTCTTCAGTTGAGGGGCATCTGAGCTGTTTCCAACTTCTGGCTATTACAAATAAAGCTGCTACAAACATGGTTGAGCAAATGTCTTTATTGTGTACTTGAGCCCCTTTTGGATATATGCCTAGGAGTGGTATGGCCAGATCTTGAGGAAGTGCTATTCCTAGTTGTCTGAGAAAGCGCCAGATTGGTTTCCAGAGTGGCTGTACAAGTTTACATTTCCACCAGCAGTGGAGAAGGGTTCCCCTTTCTCCACAGCCTCTCCAGCATGTGTTGTCCCTTGAGTTTTTCATCTTGGCCATTCTGATGGGTGTAAGGTGAAATCTCAGGGTCGTTTTGATTTGCATTTCCCTAATGGCTAATGACGTTGAACATTTCTTTAAGTGTTTCTCTGCCATTCGATATTCCTATACAGAGAATTCTCTGTTTACCTCTGTTCCCCATTTTTTAAGTGGATTACTTGGACTGCTGTTTTTCAGCTTCTTTAGTTCTTTATATATACTGGATATTAGCCCTCTGTCAGATAAATGGTTGGTGAAGATTCTTTCCCAGTCTGTAGGTAGTCGTTTTGTTTTGATGATGGTGTCCTTTCCTTTACAGAAGCTTTTCAATTTCATGAGGTCCCATTTATTGATTGTTGCTCTTAGAGCCTGTGCTGTTGGTGTTCTGTTCAAGAAGTTGTCTCCTGTGCCAATGAGTTCAAGGGTATTCCCCACTTTTTCTTCTAACCGATTTAGTGTGTCCAGTTTTATGTTGAGGTCTTTGATCCACTTGGACTTCAGTTTTGTGCAGGGTGATAAGTATGGATCTATTTTCATTTTTCTACATGTAGACATCCAGTTGGACCAGCACCATTTGTTGAAGATGCTATCTTTTTTCCATTGTATGGTTTTGACATCTTTGTCAAGGATCAGGTGTCCATAGATGTGTGGGTTTATTTCTGGGTCCTCTGTTCGGTTCCATTGATCCACCATTCTGTTTCTATGCCAGTACCATGCAGTTTTTATAACTGTTGCTCTATAGTACAGCTTGAGATCAGGGATGGAGATACCTCCAGAAGATCTTTTATTGTAGAGAATTGTTTTAGCATTTCTGGGTTTCTTGTTATTCCATATGAAGGTGAGAATTTTTCTTTCCAGGTCTGTAAAGAATTGTGTTGGTAATTTGATGGGAATTGCATTGAATCTGTAGATTGCTTTTGGTAAGATGGCCATTTTTACTATGTTAATCCTGCCCAGCCATGAGCATGGGAGATCTTTACATCTTCTGATATTTTCTTCTATTTCTTTCTTCAGAGACTTGAAATTTTTTTCATACAAGTCTTTGATTTCCTTGGTTAGGGTTACTCCAAGGTACTTTATGTCATTTGTGGCTATTGTGAAGGGTGTTGGTTCCCTAATTTCTTTCGCAGTTCTTTTGTCTTTTGTATACAGGAGGGCTACTGATTTTTTTGGAGTTAATATATGTGTTCTTTATTTTTTTTTCAGGGGTGGATTGAGATTAAATTTAAAGTAATACTTGTTTCCATAAAAAAAATGTAGAAAAATACAGTCTATGAAAATCCATAAAAACATCTAAAAAATAAGTATTAGAAGGCAAAGATATTTGTAGTTAGATGAAGTGTCGCATAAAATAATACATTGTACAATTTGAGTAGCATATTAAATACATGCTTTATTTTTATGTTTTAGGTGAAAAGTAAAACAAAGAAAAAGAAAAAAACTAAGAATAAAAAGGTGAGACACTGCACTGGCATTACAACAAAAGGATGTTTGACCGTGAATACCTGAAGCTTCCTCCAAGAACTCACAGTTAAATTCACTAACTTCAGTTAGTCCAGATGAATATACAAGTTACTCAAACCTTATTGAATATACATTTATAGAGACAGCTATGTATTTTACATATTGAAAAATCTTGAATTAGTCACTTGATAATTTTATTAGTTTCTGCATTCTGCTCCCATTTTTAAAATGCCTGATTTTTTTGTCATATCCCTATTCTATTCCAAAGTTTTTTTGTGTGTGTGTTTTGGGCTTTTTTGTTTTTGTTTTTAAGAAATCTTACATTGCCCATTCCTCAGTCTTCTGTCATGTGCAAAAAAGAAAATTCACGTTATGGATCCATTTGATCAAAACATCTCTGGTTTGCTTAGAGAAGTGTAAGAAAAACAAATGGGATTTTCTTAAATGGGGTATATGACTCATTTATGCAATGTAAACTTAGTGATTAAAGAAAAATTCTCATTTTTCTAATCTGGAACATACCTAAAATCTTGATACTTCTCTGTATCATCAACTAACTATAGTTTCTAACTACAGTCTGATTTGTTACTAGTCACTGGAACATATATAAACATTTTAATGACTAATGAAAGTAATGAAGAATATATTGTAAAGTATTAAGATTAAGACTAAAATAATTTTTATTTTATTGTGCTAAGTAAAATATCAATGGCATTCTCATTATAATAATATAGCATTTACTCAATAGTTATAAAAAATGAGTATACAATAAAATATGAATGTTTTTATTAATAGTTCCTATTTAATAACCTACAACAGCATTCATTAATGACATGTATTTTATAAGACAATGCTAAGTCTCAAGCTTAGCCAGCGTGTATTTATTGACTGCTTCTTTAACATTCTGTTTCTTTGCAATTTAATTTTATTAAAGAAATTGAGATACTTTTGAAATTGCTTGTTTTATTAAGATGAAATTTAGACATTAAAAGACAAATTATATGCTATATTTTATTCTTACTAAATATATACAGCAAGCCTTGAAGAGCAAGCCTTGAATTATATACGAATATAATTCCTGATTATATAATCAGGAATTCTTATGAAAATGGTTAGCATATGGAAGTTTGCTTCTGTTATACAAAGGATGGCAAGATCTCCTTGAGAAATTGTATCCTTTTCTCTTTGTTATTTTGCTTCATAACATATGGACCTAACAATGTAACAATAGCCCTAGAAATGCCTATCAGGAGTTATCTGGAAGGAAAACAATCAAATTTTACATCCCAGGCACAAGGGACAGTAAGGTAACTTTTAAATACTTTTAGAGATGGGACAATTTATTATATTACCTTTCTTTGGTTAAGTATTTATATTTAGCTTATAATTCATCTTCATTATAAACAACTCCACTGGTGATTAGTTTCTTATATTTTCCACCCAGATTTAAAGTAAGCAAAAGAAAAAAAAAGGACTTTTGTATTATGAAGTCATAAGAAATTTGACAGGAAATGAAACAAGCCCGTTAGTTTGGGTGGCCTCTGTACAGGAGAGAAATTGCAGACATTCCTATTAAGGGACTGAAGTGGATTGATGTGAAGTTTGCATGAAAAGAGTTAAAAGTGGACTTTGAGAAATAAACAACTGTACTAGGTGTATTCAGTATGAACAACTAAAAGTCTTTTCATATCAGGTATTCAACTCAAACCTTCAGGTATACTACAACCAAGGTAGAAGTCACTGTCTTTAAATTGTAAAAGGAAATTGGTATGAACAAGACAAGAAAACAGGGTTGTATGTACAAATTTGTATGTATGTACTTGTAAAGGAAACTTAGAATCAGACATAGTAGAAGTCAGTACTTCCGAAATTAATATTTCTAATTTAAGTTGTATTAATTTAAATTGTATGTCATTTAAGTGGGCTCTATTTGATATGTTGCTGCTATCATTTATTTTAGTAAACATAAAACTTAAGGATTTAAAAAAACTTTCCTTATGATCTCATCTGTATGTATAAGATTCTTCATATGTCAGTCTGATTTATTTTTTCCATGTAGATTTTCAAAAGTCCTTTTATTTAGCATAGAAATAATGGACATTACAGACACTGTTTCAAGGTTTCCTAGTAGGTACAAATTCATGTCCAATATTTACCTCTATTATTTCAGTAAGTGATTTTCAGAATACTAAAATTTAATGAGACACAAACACTATTTTAAAAGGGAAGTAGAATAAGTAGAAAAAAAATTTTTAAACCCACATTTTATCACATATAGTGTGGTTATCTATCTCATAGAATTCACATTTGAGTTTTATAGTTGACTCAAGATATATAATTACATACAAAATTGGGACAAGGTAGTTGATACAGATTACTAAGTCCTTGTGATGCTCTTTTTCAGGATAAGGACTCAGAAGAAGAACAAGCGTAAGTATTTAAAATTTAATTTTTTTCTTAATGTTTTTAAGGTATGTTTTGTCAATAATATATATTTGCTTTGGGAAGTTTCTAGAGAAAAGTGGTTCTTTGTCTTAACTGATATTTTCTGCAGGGTAGACTATTATTAACTTTGGCAGGAAGGAATCTTCTACAGTTTTTCCTGTAAGGCTACTTAATTGTCATCTAACACTGTCTCATTCAAAGACTGACTTGATGCTTACGAAAATAATTTAAAAATAATACATATAGACTAAAGCTTAACTTTTAAGGAGAGATCAATTATTATGTCCTGGACAGACATATGTACATCTTTTCTTTGGTTGGGGTAAATGTATGAATTGCGATAGTGTATTAAAGATGTGGGAACACTTGCAAACTTGTTTCAAAATACTGATTCCAGAGTAACTAATGTTAATAGCTGTAATTTGAAAAATAAAGCCTATTGTCTTATCATTCTTGAAAACATTGCCATGCACAATTAAATAGGTACCTTGAACAAGTCCTTCCTCTTATATGCTGATGTTCATTGTTAGTGTTCAAGAGAAGAGAACAGTGGGAGTGAGCACTGTCCAAACTTTGACCATGAGCCCTTCTAATACAGGGTATCTCGTGAGGCAGTATACTACTAACTTGAGAAGCAATAGCCTATGTTGAAAAGCGCTATACCATTGTGAAAGGTCATATTGACTGTGTCCCCACTGTAGCGCATATATGGTAGAAAAGGACGACCAGCTGGAGACAGAACAAGGAGATGTGCACACATTGAGCCCATACGTGAAAACTGATGCAAGTGATGCACAAGAGGATTCTGCCACTGAGGACAAGTTCTGTAGCCTGGATGAGCTGCACCTTCTGGACATGGCAGAGCAGGTGAGCCCTGGAGAAGGGTTAGCCCTACCGTCCTTCTTGTAGAAAGAGTTGATAATCTTGTTTTAGCCAGATTCTTTGTGCAGTATGTCCTTTTGAAAAGCCTAGCAGATTTTGCTGTTGTGAGAAGAAAAACAACAAAAATAGAAAGAGGAGATATTTTAAGACAAGAGTTTGAAGAAAAAACACCCACTGTCACTAAAATTCACATTTGTTCTCAAATCATTTCTTGACTATTGGGCAAACTCAAAAAAAAAAAAATGCATTTCTTGTAAAAAGGTTTCCAAAAAGTGTAAGGAGCAAGGAGGGGAAATGGCAATACACTAAAAACTAGCATAAACCTCACTAAGTCAAATGCCATTAAAATATATTTTAATAAACCAAATGTTTATTTTTTATTATTTAATTTGGATGCAACCATAAAAGATTTTCTGAAAAGCTCTAGTATGTAGTAGTTATTTTTCTGACTTCTTTTCTGGTAGTAGACACTGCTTGAAATGCTATATCTATAGGAAAATTATTGCTCAGAAAAGAAATTTATAGAAGGTAGATAAAGTATTGAAATGTGTGCCAGTGTACACACACACACCGTGCTTGAAGTCAGTGGTGAGCCACTCTCTGCTTTAAAATGCACATGTGTCACAATCAGTTACTCTTACAATTTTTTATAGATTAACTGAATTGGCATAGCTTTGGCTGTTACACTGAAATTTAAATATGGGACCATTAATGTTAGTACAGTAACCCAGAAAAACTCAAAATGAAAATCAAAATGTCACATACTTGCAGAAAATGTTTATTTACTTATTTAAAAACCACTGAGCCATCTGCAAAGGGCTTGTAAAATATGCTGTAGTGTGGTCCCCATCAGTATCCTGTTTATGGTATAGTAGCCAAAGTTGACCACTGAAATACACAACAAGGACATTGTTCAACCATATTCATAGAAACTTTTTTCATAATAGCCAGAACCTAGAAACAACCCAGATGTCCTTCAGTGGAGGAATGGATATAGTAATTGTGGTACACAATGGAATACTACTCAGCAATTAAAAACAAGGAAATCATGAAATTTGCAGGCAAATGATGGGAACTAGAAAAGACCATCCTGAGTATCCCAGAAACAGAAAGACACATGCGGTACATACTCACTTATAAGTGGGTACTAGACATATAATATAGGATAAACAAAATCTGTACATCTAAAGAAGCTGAGCTAGAAGGAGGACCCTGGGTAAGATGATCAATCCTCATTCAGAAAGGCAAACAGGATGAACAATTGGAAGAAGAAGAAAACAGGAAACAGAACAGGAGCCTACCACAGAGGGCGTCTGAAAGACTCTTCCCAGCATTGTATCAAAGCGGATACTGAGACTCATAAACAAACTTTAGGCAGAGCACAGGGAATCTTAGGAAAGAAGGGGGAGATAGTAAGACCTGGAGAGGTTAGGAGCTCCACAAGGATAGCAATAGAACCAAAATATCTGGGCACAGGGATCTTTTCTGAGACTGATACCCTAACCAAGGACCATGCGTGGAGATAACCTAGAACCCCTGCTCAGATGTAGCCCATGGCAGCTCAGTATCCAAGTGTGTTCCCTAGTAATGGGAAGAGGGACTGTCTCTGACATGAACTCAGTGGCTAGTTCTTTGACCACCTCCCCCGATAGAGGAGCAGCCTTGCCAGGCCAGAGAGGAGGACAATGCCACAGAGAAGGACAAGTCCTGATGAGACCAGATAAGCTAGGGTCAAATGGAAGGGGAGGTCCCATCAGTGGACTTGGGGAGGGGCATAGGAGGAGATGAGGGAGGAAGGTGGGATTGGGAGGGGATGAGGGAAGGGGCTACAGCTGGGATACAAAGTGAATAAACTAATTAATATAAAAATAAAAATTTATTTAAAAAATATAAAACAAACAATGCAAATTTCCCATCATAATAAAGCTTTTTTACTGTTAAAAAAAAAAAAAAAGAAAGAAAGAAGTTGGTGCACTGCAGTAATTAAGTATGGACAGTTTGCACTGCATGTGTTAAAATTTGGCCCTTCATTTATTCTCTGTGATGCTGTTCAATTAAGAGTATTACAAAAACTACAGACAGCAAGCGTGAGTATCCCTCAGCAGTAGCAGCAACCTACAGTTGTTGTATTATTTAATGAGTGCTATTAGGAAAGTAAAGTGTGACTAGGAATTATCATACATGGCAACTTTATATACATGGGAATCCTGTAAATAGAAAAATTAGTATCTTTTTAGAAACATAAATATTTTTGTTGTATTTGCTTAAGGGCTCATCTGGAAAGGAAAGTACAGACTACAAAGAAACTGAAAAGGAAAGGCTCGCTCATCAACATCAACTTTATAAGTTGCAGTATGAATGTGAAGTGAGTACATTTGCCATTAGATCTTAGAGAAGCAAGAAATATTTTAAATGCTAAACTCAATGATACATTGTCTTAAAATAACTCAATAAAATTGAACCCTTATTCATTGTTGGGGGGTGCAAATTAAGTTGAGACTTATGGCCAAACTTTGGGCAGAATGCAGGGAATCTTATGAAATAAGTGGGAAATAGTAAGATCTGGAGAGGACAGGAGGTCCACAAGGAGAGCAACAGAACCAAAAAATTTGAACAGAGGGGTCTTTCCTGAGACTTACACTCCAACCAAGTACCATGCATGGAGATAACCTAGAACCCCTGAACAGATGTAACCCATGGCAGTTCAGTGTCCAAGTGGGTTCCATAGTAATGGGAACAGGGACTGTCTCTGACATGAACTGATTGGCCTGCTTTTTGATCACCTCCCCCTGAGGGGGGAACAGGCCACAGAGAAAAACAATGCACTCCTGATGAGACCTAACAGACTAGGATCGGAAGGAAGAAAAAGAAACCCTCCCCTACCAATGGACATGGGGAGGTGCATGCGTGGAGAAGGGGGAGGAAGGAAGGGGTTGGGAAGGGAGGAGGGAGTGAACTAGAGGGGGGGTATAAAGTAAATGAAGTGTAATTAAAAATAAAATTAAATTAAAATTTAAAATAAAGTATCTATTGTAGAAATAATGTGGAGATTGCTCAAAGACCTAAAAGTAGAACCACTGTATGGCCCTCCTTCTCACCCCTGGGCACACATCCAGAGAACTCCATACCATACCATAGACAGAGGTTAATTGCCACTTTATTCACTATAGCAAAGAATTGGAATCAACCGAGTCTATGAGTAGATGAATAAATCTATAATTAAAATTTGGAGTAGTGCTTGCTTTGCTTATACATGTACTAAATTGGAATGATATAGAAAAGGTTAGCATGGCTCCTGGATAAGCATGATACTCAAATTCATGAAGCATTCCATATTTTGTCCAACTCTGATGAGTTAGTTTTCTTTTTCTATATTATTATCATCCCTTAGAAGCCTGTTTCTAATAAATGAAATAAAGGGAACTGAGGAAAATGGGAGGGGATATGGGGAAGAACTGGGAGGAGTAGAGGGAGCAGAAACCATAATTAGGATATAATATGTGAAAAAAAAATCATTTTCAGTGAAAGGAGAAAAAAATGAAAATTTGGTGTGTATATGTGTGTGAGTGTATACATACATATATTTGAATATTATTTAGCTCCGAAGAAAAATGAAGTTAAAAATATCTGCAAGAAAATGGATGGACTTAAAATGTATAATAATAGTTGAGCGCACATCTCAGGAAAAAATAAAGTACATGCTCATTCTCATATGGAATCTAGTCAGTAATATATGTGTATATAAACAAGTGTATATGTAGGTGTGGTATAATAAAGAACAAGAAAGACTGAGTAGCAGATGAGGAAGGACTGAGTACACATAATGGACCTGAGTTATGAATGAGAATATAAAGTTGTTCTTTTGTTATAGATTTTTTTTGTAGTAGATAAGTATATAAAATATTTAATACTGAAAGTGCAGTATTAATGTGTAGCTTGAGTTTCCATTTTAATAATAATAAGTTTATTAAGTTTTATAGACTTTAGGTCTGTTTTATTTTGATGTATAATTTTTTATTTATTTCTAAGTATTCTTATAATAAAGTTTATTTAAAAGATATCTCAATGTGGGTATGGTTCTTTACATTTCGGTGACTTGAATACTATGAAAAAATATTTTTCGTTGAGCAGGATTACAAAAGACAACTGAAAACAGTAACATTTCGGTGGCAGGAAAATCAAATGCAGATTAAAAAGAAAGAAAAAATCATTGTATCTCTAAACCAACAAGTGGCTTTTGGAATCAATAAAGTGTCCAAGTAAGTACAAAACTTGATAAAAATGAAACTTCTAAATTTGCTTATCTTTTTTTAGTCTTAATCTCTCAGCAGCCACCAGGTGGCAGTGCGGCTGCACAGTAGAAATTTCAGAGGCGTAAATGAGGTTTACAAAAGGAAGTCAGAGAGTTAAGAGGGTTGAGATTAAGACCTGAGGAGAGCAAGAGCAAGAGAACAGAAGACCTGTAGAGAAAAGAGAAACTGAGGATTGGGACATCTCTGTGACAAGCTGGAGAACTAAGTCAGGGTAGGTTCTTGGAGGAATATAAGGGGTATTCAAGCAGAGACCATAGAGACTGAAGAGGACATCTTGTAAATAGACTAGTCTTCTAATAAAGGGCAGGTAAGACTATCCCACTCACAAAAACTTCAATCCAAAATATACCCTGCCTACAAGATATACAGGGATAAAGATAGAGCAGAAATTAAGGGACTTCCCAGCTGATGCCTATCCCATCCAAAGACCCACTCTATAGGAGAGTGCCAACCCCTGAGACTATGAATGATACTTTTTAAGCCTGCAAACAGGAGCCCATCAGAGTTGTCCTCTGAGAGTCTTTACCTAACAGTGCTTCATGACACATGCTAAGACTCATAGCCAAACATTGGGAGATGGGTAGAGAGTCTTGGGGAATAGTGGGAGAAAAGTGAAAAGGACCTGAAGTGACAGGATCTCCACAAGAAAAACAACAGAGCAAACTAACAAGGTCCCAGAGAGGTTTGCTGAGACTGAAGCATCAACCAACGACCATGAATGAACTAGACCTAGGCCCCCTACAAAGATGTATCAGATGAGCAGCTTAGGCTTCAGCTGCATACTCTAGTAAGGGAAGTGGGGACTGCATGGGACACAGGCTCACTTGCTAGCTCTTAGATCACTTTCCCTGGTAGGTTTGCCTTGACAGGCCACAGGGGAAGAGAACATGTTCAGTCCTGATGCAACTTAATGAGCTGGGGTGGATGGGAAAGGGAGGTCTCCTTTTCTGAAGAAAAGGAAGGGAGGGAAGGAGGATGGGACTGGGAAGGGTGGAGGGAAGCAGCTACAAGGATGTAAAGTGAATAAGATAAATGAGAAAAAACAACAACAAAGAAGTCAGATGGATGAGGTATAGGAGATCATTTGCTGTTTTCAAGGCCAGGATTTGTGATTCATGTAAGATATACTTGGCCCCTCTTTAAGCAACAGTAGAGCTCTTCTGTGTTAATGAGAAATTATTTCTATCATTTTATGACTTCCTTATTTGCTTAGATTACAGCGCCAAATCCATGTTAAAGATGATGAAATCAAGAACCTTAAAGATCAACTTTCCATGAAAAGGTACACCATTTTCTTCCGATGGCACTCCATCTCTGAAATTGCATTTTACTCAACATTTTTAGCTGGGATAATCTAACAGCACTTTTTCACATGAAATTGAGTAATATCAGCAACTACATTGGGTTTAATAGGTATAAACAGAAAGGTGTAGTCAGATTGGAAGATGTTCATTGCAGCTCTGATTGGAGAAAACTGAGACAATTTTCACATGTGCAGAAGCTAAAAGAATAGGGAACTAAACCCCTTGTTCCTGTGGGTCCACCACTATAACAAACTACTGACTGATTAACAGCATGCACCAATTCCTCCAAGGTCAGGGTGACAACCAGCTAGATATCTGTTAAAAACTTGCTGCTTCATAGCAGATCTTCCATATCTTCTCTTTTTACTCTCACATAGTACAAGAGCCACAGAGCTGTCTCAAAATAGCATTTAAAATAAGGCTGAAGATGATGCTCCAACATTACAGAGAGTTATGGGTGACTGTTAAGACAGCAAACTATTTCTCTCAATTTTTTATTTTTTTTGGAAGTTGCTAACATGCACTTCCTATTTATTCAAGTAACTAATTTTATTCCTTCTCAAGTTTCTGATGGGGTTGAAGACCAAATAGTTATAGTGCCACAATTAAGCTTGAGTTGTTTAGAAGTTAAAAAATCCTTTCATATAGGTACTACCAATGAGGATAAAAGTTAATTTAGGTATAGAACTTTTAACTTCTCAAGATAGATAGGATAATCAGATAACTTTATCCTAAGTTGCTAAATACACATGGACTGGACATTGCACATGTAGATTTTACCTGACAGTTTTCAGAATTTCATAATTATTATTGTATTGAAAGAAAAGGAGCCTTTTATTGGACTTAAAGGGGGAAATGTTGGTATAATGTTCTTTTGAAATGTATACACCTTACCCTTGTTCATTCAAATGCTGATTCTCTCCCCCCACCCCACTCTCTGGTTTCAATCTGGATATTGCATTGTGATACTTATTCTAAGCATCCTGTCTCAACTTTGTGTAAGCAGGCCAAAATAAAACAACTAGCCAAAATGTTGAGCAATGGGAGGAGCCAGAGGACAGGAAAGAGGGGAGGAGCCAGAGGGCAGAAAATGAGTGGGAGGAGAAGGGGAGAGAGGAGAGCTAGGAGAGCAGAGCTGGAGGAGAGATCTTGGAGGACGTGGAGCATGAACCAGACCTAAGATTTCACAAAAAGCAAGTATAATGGATAAAATCTAAATGTTAGGAAACTATGAGGGCTTGGAGGTTTAGGAGGGAGTAACTATTGCCCAGCTTTGTGTTCTAGGTTAAGTAAATTTAAAAAAATAATAATAATAACGTATTATTTCCATTCATGAAGGCTTTGTCTTTATGACCATCTCACTTTCCAGTGTTTTATGTCCCAATCACTAGGAAAAAATTACTGCATCTTCTAAGATCCTCAATTTGGGGTTTGTTGTATGACAGAACTTTTCCTAGGGAGTTGCAACACACACATCTATTCACCCCAGATAAAGAATCCATAATAGATCAAAATACAGATACTACCAAAGTCCACCTTGGTGAACCATAGAGTTTTCTTGGGCTTACTACAGAAATATGGGTGAGGGATTACTTATAAGCAGAAACTACTCAAAAAGACAGCTACATCACTAACGCCCACCTCAGCATGAGTGACAGGTCAGAAAGCTGAGAACCTGGATCACAATGTAAAGCCTAAGGCAGCTCATCAGGTTGGAGACTGTGTTGGTCTAAACTTCTTCCAAGTAACTGGTGTTGTCCTGGAGTTGTTTTGCAGCTTTGCTTGTCTGAGAATCTTCTTTGCACCTTTCCTCTTCTCTTCTGAGAGAGACTCTTAGCTCTTATAGGGGTCTAGGAAATATGGTCAATTTTCAGGACTTTCTGAAACTATAATGAGTTGTTTATACCTTGAGTTTCCTGCAAGATGAAATGTTTTATTTAATCTTGGAGGAAACTTACACAACAGAGTTGAAGATTTCAAGAAATGAATTATGGGTCAAGGAGAACTCAACACTCAGTCCATTGTTCTTGTCTAAGGTTTTACATCTAATATGTTGTAGTGGTGAGATTAATACTACAGATTCAGAATTTAGGTCATAGCCTCTGTACTGAGAACTTTAAAACTTCTGCATTTTTGTAATGAAGAATAACTATGTTTTAAACAATGTCTTCTTTTGTTTTTATGTGCTATGTGTACTTTTCCAATAAAATATTTTGTTCTTGTCATGGTTTTATCTTCTTCTGAGTAAATTGGAAAAGGCTATCTTTGTAATGTTGCTAATTTTTAATGATCATGCATTTCAGATCTCAGTGGGAAATGGAGAAGCATAATCTAGAAAGCACAGTTAAAATGTATTTAAGCAAACTGAATGCAGAAACCAGCAGAGCCTTAACAGCTGAGGTAAAAGGAAAATGGGGGAATTGAAAAGGGAGGATAATTTTACTTTACTATAGCTAAAGAGTTGAAAAGAGATTGGCTTTCAAACAAACAAAACAGTATCATTCAGAAAACTACAGCTTAAACTCATATTCTTTTGTTTCACTGGCATGTCATTTGGGAGTGCTTGAGTATTTGTAATCTTACGTTGCTTTCCTTCAGTGACTCCAAGAAATCACAGTATTTAAAGTTAGAGGCGAATTCTCATGAATTAGACTCTAAGCCATACTTGTAGGAATAACGTTTCACTACTGCTGTAATACCACTTTCTCTGCTGTGTCCATAGAGCTACTGTAAAAATGCGTGCATATTATAACCTCAACATCAAAAGCCTGCTTACTTCCCATAACCTTAGAAAGTCACCTAATACTATTAAAGTTAGCTTATAATACCACAGGTGGGCTCTCTCAGAAGAAATAGATTGTATGTATGCATATAATTTTTATTTATAGCTATTGAAACTTTTTATATAGGAAGATTCACATTTTTTGAAGAGCTTGCTGACATTAAAAAGCATTAAAAATTTTGCCACCTGTCATTAAGAAGCTCTCTTCCCTGGTAGAATTCTTGGGATTCCAGAACAACTGAGAAGTGATAATCTAAGCACTCCATGAATATATGCTGCAGTTTTATGTTAACAGAGGAAAAGCTGGCCTTACCTTGAGCTCATGTATATTCTTTGTTCTTCAGAGCTTTCAGTTAAAAGTTTCTGTCTGCTTCTGTTGTTACTTTTAGAAAATACTTTCTAACACCTATTAGTGTCTGAGTATTCATTTTGTAATTATTGAGTGTTTAACAGCTACAACTTGAAACTAAGTGATTATACATTAGTAATGATGTGGAAAGTCTTCCTTCTCTGGAGAAATATTGGGCCAGAATATCTGTAAGGCCCATTGGACTGTGCCTTTTCTGTTGTCTGATTACTTCTGTATTTCAGTAGCCCTTCTTCATGAATATATAAACAACAGAATTTCTTCTGAGTATTTTCAAACTTAGCTGCATATTAAAATTAATTTAGTGAGAACTTTAAAAATCCTAATGTATAGGCTCTCCCTTGACATTATCAATTATTTGTCAATTAAGTTAGTATCTCTCAAACCAAGGTACCGCTCTTTAAAGTTTCCAAGACTAGTCCAATATTTGGGGGAGGGGGGATTGAAAAGTAATGTTCTTGGCCTACCAACCTAGTAACCATTAAATAAAATAAGTAAAACTGCAGAGTTGCTTTGGTCAGAAAACATTTTTGATGCTTCTTGGATTGTCAGACACTACAGTGTTCATGGAAGAGACTGAAAAATCGCTTTGAGTTTACTTGAGATGACTAAGAGGTTGCTCATTTAGAATTCCTTCATTTCCTTTCTCTTTCAAAAATCTGTAGGTGTATTTCTTACAGTGTCGTAGAGATTTTGGTTTACTACACCTTGAGCAGACAGAAAAGGAGTGCCTCAATCAGCTTGCCAGGGTGACTCACATGGCAGCAAGGTAACCTCTTCCCACCTAATTCACATGACCTCAGAGAGGGGCAGGTATCTCCATAGTTGAAAATAATCTGTGAAAAAAAAAAAAGAAAATAATCTGTGATGAATTTGACAATACATGCATCAGAGTCATTGGAATGATTCCAAGCGCTCAGGTTTGTTTGTTTCTTTGTTCTTCAAGTATGTTGTTGCATCTAATGAATTATTGGCAAGCACTGAATACAGTGGCAGCTTTGTCCCCGCTGAGAGACATGCATAAAGGCCAGATGTGTACAAGACAGTTTCTAATTGGAAAACTGTTTTCTAATTGTTTTTCTACTATGCTTGATACTAAGTACCTTTGTAATATATTTAGAAAAAAATAGGTAATAACATCTAACGCTACGTGTTATGAGACAGTTTCTGCTGTTCTGTATTAAATTTCAAATATTGGAATGAGTTCCATGGAAATTTCCTTAAATTTATAATCTTATAGGGCATACCTTTAAAATTTAAAGAGTTAATTATCTCTGAGATCAAAGCATTATTATTTTATAATAATCATTTTTAAATTGTCATTATTTTTGATACTGATGTCCAATCAAGCTGAGAAGGAACTATTGTGAGCAGTCAGCCTGCCTTTCCTTGCCAGGAGGAAAAGGAGTATAGTGTAAATTAAGACTCTTGGAAGCTCCTTTTTGTCTGATCTTACCGATGACCTATAATTGTTAGACTCATGGTGTAGAAGGGGGAATGCTGCTATACATAGCCCTTTTGGAAATCCGCGGGAAATTTCTCCTGGAGACCATAAGCACTAAAACACTATGAGTTGTTCCTGCCTTAGCTATTTATAGGACATGCATCAGTGAACAGTTGCTATACTGGTTCATTTTATACACTTTATTGGGGAGAGCATTCTTCCTCAGAGGAAAATGTTGATTGTTTTTGTTTGTTTGTATTTTTTGTGTGTGTTTTCATAATTTGTCATCCCAGAAATAATTTAATGTTCTAACTTACATTAGAGCCAGATCAGTTCTGACTCTGTGACATCAGGGTTAACATGAAGATAATCTAATCTGCCTCCAAGATGGGACAACATTCTTGAGATTACTTGTGCAGCTTCCCTGTTTGGATTTTTCTGCTTCCCTACTCCATTGGAGATATTTTAGAACAAAATTTTATAGTATCATCAAGATAGGAAAAAAAAATGCTGTTCTGAAGATAGGGAGAAGAATGAAAAATGGTTTTTGGAAAGATATGTCTTATCTTCCCTTAAAAGGGGTACATACATTGCTGGTTTCTGTTTTTATCAATTATAAGCCTGTCCATGTATTTTTAAAGGAATTGCTAGTACTGAAGGTAATTTTATTATATTATTTACATAAATACTAGAGAATACTTTTGAAATTTTCGGGATCCTAAATGTTATATATAAAGCGAGCTTCTATGTCCCCTTTCTACATCAGCAACCTGGAATCACTTCAATTAAAGGCTGCCGTAGATAGTTGGAATGCCATTGTGGCGGATGTTCGAAACAAGATTGCATACCTGAGGGTAAGTTCTGAAGCGTACTTACATAGATTGACATGGTTATGTGGGGGTGCATTCAGAGAGAACAGCCAGCATACTTACATAGATTGGCAGGGTTATTGGGAGTGCATTCAGAGAGAACAACCAGCACTAAAAGCAAAGAGGTAAGAAACTTAACAACAGTTCTTCATCTCAGTTACCGAAGATTATCATCTCAGATTGTAATTATATTTGTTTAATTGATGTTAGGTATAAATTATAGACTCATGTGTGACTTTTTCACTCATTGTCCCAGGAAAAGATAAACTCAGAAGTTGTCCCTTACCTAGTTTTTCCAGAATTCCAAATCCAAACAAAATTAAACTCAAATTCACTCCAGGTTAACCAGCTATAAAATTAATTGATAATTCTACATGTATAGAAAATAGTGAATGTCAAATAGAGCTATATTCTTTTCTAATCTTAACATTTTATAATTCTTCCATTCTTCCAGAATCTTAACTATTGATTTAATTGAATTGATACTTTGAAAAGGCTAAACTAGTGACTTTTTATAGAAATGGTTCTCACATTTTTATATGTAATATTGATTGAATTTTACATTCACATGACTTCTATAAATGGTACAACGGTGTTCAGTTGCAAAGAACTACCTTAGAGCACTATGGACTTGTTGAGTTTACAAATGATGGTTTCAACCATTTTTCCCTGGGATCATTGTCCCTCCATCTTTAGTCGTACTCAGAATTTCTTTTAGGCGTACTCAGACTTTTAGCCTCAGAAGCATTGTTCGTTGTTTCCTGTCCTTGTTTTCTTCCAAGCCTATTTTCTTCATGGAAATCACTAAATGCTTTGTTTTATAAGGTTTTGTTTTCCATGTCTAATGGGTTCTTTACTAAAATGAATAAAGAAAACTAGGAACAATGCCAAAAAAATATTGAAAGTATGAAAATTTCCAAAATTAGACTCCTGGTCTCTTCTCCTCTCCTTTCCCAGAATGCAGTTTCTTTCTGTCTTCCCTTTACCCAATCCCAAAACATTTATAGAACTGGAGCAAGCCAGAGGTGTAGTTATTTTTATTTTTTTTTTCATTTTTATTTTTTTATTTATTACTATTTATTCCCTTTTTATCCCAGCTGTAGTTTTTTAGATAAATAAAATTATGAATGTCTAATTAACATTTTACTTTTTAAATATGAACATTGACATGGAACTCAGTTCTTTGTTAAAAATTGTTTGTTTTCATATTAGCCCTTGTGTTTCTTATAGATACTTGACTTTTTAGATTCTGTCCTCACTTTATATCAGTGGTTTCTATTTGTGAACTGGAAATTATGTAAACACTGAGGAGTTACCATAAGCTCCTAAATTATGTCACTATATCTTATCACTAAATCCCTGAAACACAGCTATTTAAGTGTGGGCATGAAAGATTATAGAATTGGTTTTTTTGTTTTGTTTTATTAATTATAGTTTATTTGCTTTATATCCAAGCTGTAGCCCCCTCCCTAGTAGGGGCTACAATTGTACCCTCCCTCCCTCTTCTCCTCCCAATCCCACCTTCCCTCCCTCCTCTCCTCTTATATCCTTCCTCAAGTCCACTGATTCAGAAGGTTCTCCTGTCCTTCCCTCTAATCCTAGTCTATCAGTTCTCATCAGGAGTGGCTGCATTGTCTTCTAAACCCACACACTTATGGACACCTGATCTTTTGACAAAGATGCCAAAACCATACAATGGAAAAAAAGATAGCGTCTTCAACAAATGGTGCTGGTCTAACTGGATATCTATATATAGAAAAATGCAAATAGATCCATATTTATCACCCTGCACAAAACTAAAGTCCAAGTGGATCAAAGACCTCAACATAAAACCAGACACACTAAACTGCTTAGAAGAAAAAGTGGGAAAGAACCTTGAGCTCATTGGCATAGGAGACAACTTCCTGAACAGAGCACCAACAGTACAAGCTCTAAGATTAAGAATTATTTTTATGTCAGAAATTTTATTTTTTTTTTCTATCACTGGGTTGAGAACTACTAGTTTATGTTGAATTGTCAGACTTTATGCTATATACTGTTTCTTTAGATTCAGTGGTGGTCTGAAATATATTTTTCTTCTGCCAGACACAATACAATGAACAAATCAATAAAGTGAAGCAAGGGTTTGCCTTGAGTACCTTGCCTCCAGTCCAGCTTCCCCCACCACCACCAAGTCCTGAGATACTGGTAAGCTGCCTGACATTTTTAAAAGTTGCTATCTTTATTTTGATGAATGGGAAAGTACAAAATTCAGAGTATATAGTGTGTTTAGGCATGTGCTCAAATGGAACTAAGTGCATGCTTTAAATACCAGTTGTCACTGATGGCCCATCCATCATGATACAATTAACAGGTGATACAGTCTGACTGAGGCCAGTTTAAACTGGTGTTTAGTCATACATTTGAAGTCTAAGTGCTGTTTTCATCTGCTCAATATTATGGGAGATAACTGGTGAATGCACATAATTCTCATTGCTCTCCATGTTAATACTATATAACTAAAACATTCCAGCATAATACCCAGGATGCTGACTAGAGAGTCAGTCCCTTCTAATTCTGCCTTAGACTTCTTTTCTTTAGCTTTTATAATCTACTGTGGTTTTGACCTCAAGTGAGGTTTTCACTTATACCACTTTTCTCCTTATTAGGAGCCAGTAGGTTTAACCAGATGTACTGATTTGAGTGCTTTAATCTGAGAAATACACACAAGTTTCTGTGAATAAGTTAGGGGGTTATTGTTAGGTGATACTTTTTATTTTTACTCTAAGTCTGGGTATAGGAAGATAAGATATTGAGGGGCAGATGGCATTTGGTAACATTCATGGTAATTCTGTAAACGTTATTTCTACTCATCATTGAGTATAATAAAGAACACTTATTTGCTAGGAAGTGATACAAATGGTCTCTTGTCCAATTCCCAATGGAGTCCTGTTTCCATCTAAAACTTCATGATTGTAGTCTGTTACTGTTCTCATTATTAGAAGCATTCTGGTCTTCTGAACGCCCACTAGAATTACCCATTAAACTGCTTACAGGATTCTAGAATTTTTCTTCTCAAATGTTTCCAAATCGTTTCCACAACCAGCTTCAAAGACCTAAAAACCATATCGTCAGACTTAGTTATCAGTGACCCCACTTTTGGATTCTAATTTTCTGTGTTTGTTTTATAGTCACTATGATGAAATATGTGTTCCTGCTTTATGATCATATTAGACCTAGCTCTTTGTAGAAGCTCCGTCAGCCTGTCCCCTTCTATACTCAAACTAACAAGCTGAGGTTTCTCTCCAGCTAACAATTACTAAGACCCCTTGGGAGCTACCGCCACACCCACAAGGGACCTCTATGGAGGAGTATCCCTTGTATGAGCCCTACATCATTCTTCTGTTTTTGAAGCTAAAGATAAAAGTCCTGATTCCATCAAATGGCATCTTGAGTACAAGATTAAGAAAGCTATATTTTCTATGGATGATTTTGAGGATTTTTAAATGAAATATCCGAGTATTGTCTGTCAACATGGACACTATTCACTGAGACCTTTGCGATTTCTGTACATATACCTTTCAGAGTCCTATATTACTATACCATTGATCTTATATCATTACCCAACTCTCTTATTTTATAGTCTAAGAATTTGGCATCCAGTTATTCAACCAGGTTCTTCTACTCTTTCTCACTTTTTTTCGCTTCTTCAAAATCTCAGATTTAATTAATATTCTGATCACATTGCTTCTAATATACTTTGTATCTGAATTTCAAATCGGTGTTTTACCCCCTGCATAGCTCTGTGACTTTACAGCGTTGCCCAGGTAAGTCTATAAACATGTAGAGGGGCTTTATTTATTTATTTATTTATCTAAACATTTATTTATTTAGTTATTTATTTATATGTTTATTTATTTATTTATTTATTTTTATGTTAGATACAGCAGTTCTTAGGAAGACCTCTTGTGAAGGAATCTTTCTTTAGACCAATACTTACTGTTCCTCAAATGCCTGCAGTTTGCCCTGGAGTCATCTCTGCAGCTGTACAACCTAGGCCGCCCCTGGTAAGAGCCTTTTCTGGTGAAGTAATAGTCCCTTATAAGTAAAACAGGATTCCTGAATAAATACATTATCTTCATTCATTTGTTTGGTAGGATAATGTTGGTAATGCTGGTGATGATGATACTTACATGATTATTGAGTGAATATTTGTTTTACCTAATAGCTTAGTTTTGAAATACAAAGATATTTTTATACTGAGTTCTTCTAATTGCATTTTACTTGTGTGACAAAAATGTAGCATGGATTGACATTTTTATTTTTTACATGGCTATTTTGTAGAAAAGCAAAGAACAGTCACAGTAAACTAAATTAAACGTCTAAGCTTACATACATACCCAAGTGTTTCAGGTGTATCTGCAACAAATAGCATAAGTAACTTCAGCTTGAAACAAAACCCTAAAGTTTTCAGTCTTCCTAATTGTAAATAGATAAGTTTTATTCAAACCTGAAGAAGGAATAAAGACATTTAAAATGGCTGGAATTATGATTTGTCATTTTGATTAAAGTTAAAAAAGAAAAAAATTCTTCCAAAAGAATGACGTCAGGTATAACTAGTAAAAAAAAAAAAAAGTCTCTAATCCTGACTCTTCCATAAAAGCACTTTCATTTTTAAAAGTGTGTGTGTGTGTGTGTGTGTATGTGTGTGCGCGTGCACACACATGCATGTATGCGTGTATGTTTATGTGTGCATGTGCGTTTATGTGGCTATATATTTGTATGTTTCTGCCTGATTGTATTTCCATGTGTATGCATGTGTTTGTGTCTGTATATAGTAGTATATAGTTCTTGTAGCTTGCTCAATTTTTTTGAAATATATAGTTAGGCTCATTTATTTCTATGCCAACTGTCTTATATTTCAAAAGATATGTATGTAAGCCTCAACATTACAGATGAGTGCCACATCTTTTCTCACTGTCTTAACTGTGTTGCTTACACAGTTTACTTGCTGGTATTCTGTAATGACCAGAATGGAATTTTATTGAAAACATTGAAATCTGTTTACCTCCTAGTAAGACTACCTTCAGATTCCTAGGGAATGCTGAAGACTCATGCAGATCTTGTTTGAGTCTAATCACTGGTGGTCATTACTCACTCGCTTTTCATGCTGACCCAGAGATGTTTAGGTCAACGTTGTCATGATCTAACCTTAGTAACCTAATTAACTCTCTAAAATTCTCTGCCTGATGATAATTCATTTATCTTATTGTTTCTAATGACTACCATAAAATGCACAAAAAATAATGGTTGGTTTCACAACTCTTTCAGATATATTGTTGTACCTCCCACATTGCTATTTTCTGTGTTTTTTGTTTTTTTTTGAAACATGGAGCAAAAGCATTTTTGTTGCTGTCATCATCTTTATGTAGAGTTTAAAATTTTTATCATTGTTATTTTTCTAATTGTAAAAGTATATTTAATAGTTGTAAAAATGTAGATAATAAGGAAATAAAGACATTTGGAAGTAAAACTGCCTTGTGTTTAAATTCCTATGAAAAATCACCATTTGCATATTACTGTGTAACTTACAGGTGCTTTTGTGTGTTCAAATGCATGCACATGTTAAAATTGTTAATACTAAAGGAGCTTCACCATATATTCAGTGCTACATACTATTTTGAAAAACCTAAACATATTCCATGGGTATCTCCAATGCCCAGACATAGACATCTATTTGTAAGAACTTGATTGATTTGCTATAATTTATTTATTCATTCCTTTGTTGGCTGACTTTAGGTAGTTTTTAGTTTTTCACTTACTATTTTTTCAAATTCATTAATAAGAACTCTGCATGTGTTTCTGTACGTGCTAGTGATTGCTGAGCAAACACCCTGTTTTTAAAGTTAAAATAGGTAATAAAAAGTTAGAAATATTGTATATATTAAGAAAAAACTGAAAGAAGAGAACTTAGGTCTCATAGGTATCACTATGACTCTTCTGCTTTTTTCCTGAAGCTTCTAAGTACTCTGTTGGCATGCAGTGCTGTCTACTAACTGAAGCTGATGGCTGTAACCCTCTACCCTTTACAGATGCCTGGTATAACCTGGGCTATGCCAACACCTATAGGTGACACTGTGTCACCCAGCGCAAGTCTGTGCAGTGAACCTCTCATGATAAACTGGGAGAGGATCACAGACAGACTGAAAATGGCTTTTCCACAACAGACAAGGTACCTTCATTTTTCTTCATTGGTTACACATGTATTTTATCGTTTTCATAGCCGTAACTATAGAAATGAAACATTCACACACATACACAAGGACAAATATTTCCTCACTATGGTCTTAGTAAAATAAAATTGACTAAGAAAATAAAGTGCTCAGCAGAAATGCTAAATATTTTTACATTTTATTATGCTTAAATTATGGAAGATAAGCGTGTAAATTTATGTTTGCTCTAGTTATAAACTATTCAGTTTGAATGCCTCCAGCTACAGTAATTACTTTATTAACAAGGCAACAAAGTAAAGTTTCAGTTAATTGTATTCTAAGCTCCAACAATCATCGGGTTTCAGCCTTTTTTCCTTTTTATTGATATTCTTATCATGTTTTTGTAAGTGGACATATTTCAGTATAATAAATAGTGATTTGAGGGCTTTCACTGTCTGGCTTTAACAGAAGGATTTAAAATTAACTAAAATTTTAAAATCTGTACTCTGTGTGGAAATAAGTCTAGTTTTTCTTGCTATTTTTATTGGAAAACATTATATCCTGTTGCTTTAAAATTAGATTATGGTTTTAATAAGTTCCATAATTATAAAAAAAATAAAATTATCAGATAGTTATAAATAATTACTAAATGAATAAATCATGAACCAAAAGAAAGAAAAATATCTCATTCTTTTTCTAGCAGAAGTATAGATCTCAGTGGAGGATTAAAAAAGGAAATGCTGATGAAAATAATTAGAAGTTATTTTATAGATATTAAAAAAAGAATAATGTAGTCTTGAGTGAAGTTGTAGATACAAAGTTCTCAATATGTAAATGAATCAACTCAATTTTCACATAGTTAACTCTCATAAACATCATTAACTTTTTCTGGTAAACACACTTCTGGACACAATTAGCAGTTTTCATTTTGGTTTTAAAAAAATGTGGATGACATTTTTAGGTTCAAAACTATAGAATTTAGTCTGTATGCTGACTATCTACTGAACAGAATTTTGTATCTCATTTTTGAGGGCATCTTCAAAGCAGTAGGAAAAACCAACCCTTCTCTATTTTGGATCTCTTCCAGGAAGGAGCTTACAGATTTTTTACAACAATTAAAAGATTCTCATGGGAAGTCAGTGTCTCGACTGACATTTGATGAAATTGTTTACAAGATTTCTCAAATGATTGGGCCGAAGAAACCCGAGGTAAAACAAGCAAATAAAAAACAACAAACTTTAATTCTATAGTCTCATCTCTGTAATAGTTTCATAACATGTTAAGAGAATCAAGAATCAATGACTTAATCATAGGACATCATTATAACAATAAAAAATTCCACAAATTCAACTTGACAAGCAAAATAGAAGGGTTTTTGATCAGACCAGAATAAAGCTGACCCTTTTAGTTTCTAATGCCTGCTTTGGGTGATTATGAATGCACATTTTGTTATTGTTGCTTTTCTAATTTTCTGGAAATACTTATTTAAAAGAACTCTTCACATAGCTCTAAGAAATATCGCCAACATTTTATTTCAAAATACATCATGAATATTGTTCTTCCTTTTGCTACAACCTATTTTATTCAGTTCTGTCAGTTGATACTGTTTTAGGATAATTCTTAAAAGTAAATATTATTTTTATAGAGTGAAGGAAAGACTGTGCCAGATGGTAATAGTGCTTCACCCAGCCACACTTCACAGCCTAATGCTCCCCAGGCCCCCACAGCAGCTCAAGGTTCTGCCACATGGGAAGGAGCCAAAGACTTGGTGAGATAATTTGTTGACTATGAACACATTTAGGTCAAGAGGAAAAATTAGCCCAAATTTTATCCTATATGTTGTTCTCTAGGATAATGAAGAGGAAGAAGAGGAGCCTTGTGTCATCTGTCATGAGAATTTGTCTCCAGAAAACCTTTCAGTTTTGCCTTGTGCTCACAAATTCCACTCTCAGGTAAATGTTTAAGCTTGTCCTGTTAACATTTTACCATTAATTAGCTAAGCAAGACCACTGCCTTACTTAAAGGTACATCAGCATCCAGTGCCATTTCACAGTCACACTGGGCATAACTACACTTCACTCTGGGTGCCATACAGAAATGTTTACACCTTCCACTGTATGCACTCATGGTTATGCTGCTGTTTTTCAGGAGGACAGCCTGGAGATTTAAATGGTATACAGTATATATTTCCCTTGACCAGAACTAGCAGGAAATACTGATTGTATAGCAATTGAGTGACAAGTCTAGCAACAAAGAAGTGCCACTTTACCCAGATATGCTTTAACATCTACAGTGTCTATTGTCCATCTGTAATCATGGCCCTTCCCATTTTAAGGCAGAAGACATATCTTACTTAGTAATCTCTCTCACCTCTTGTGTTTACATGTGTAGGTTCTGAGGCTTGGGTGTTAATGTTAGAAAAGTATTAGGCTGTCATATCTTTTGTGTTCTTGGTATTTCTTTGGGATTAATTCCTGGTGCTGCTCTGTGTAACTGTTACTGATGTATAATGCATGGTTCAAGTCCTTTTGTAATTTGACAAAAGAAAATATAATCTTAGACAAGAAATGTTTTCTTGGAAGTAAACAATTGCCTGATTTTTCAAACCTTGTTTTAAAGTTACAATATGTGGTACCTGTTACAAAATTATGTGTGTTTTCTGCTTCGATCTGAGGAGGTGTGAAAAATGGCCAATTGCAAAAGGTCTCCTAGATGATACTTAGCCACCCAACTTTCCCATTTTGAAATTTTAATGTGTGATGATTTTTTTAAAAAAGGAAAAAAAAAAGAATGTTTATCAGAACTTATTTGCCTTTGTTCAGTGAACTAAATGTGTATGATTCACTCGGGTTACTCTTTAGGGTTAGTTATTAGGCCTCAAACATAGTCCCTGTACTTAGTCCTCCTATCTGATTTGGCTTTCCATTATTCTAATATCAAAAATTCCTGGTTTTAGAGTCAATACTTAAGAGTCAAAACATAAGTACTTCATAGTTCAAGATTGCCATCATTGTCACCATGGAAAACAATCTGAAGAGACTTTTCATTCAGGTAGTTTCAGCTTTAGAGTCCCATAAGGGTAGTGGTAACGTTTTTTTGTTGTGGTTTGGTGTGGTTTGGTGTGGTTTGGTTTGGTTTGGTTTGGTTTGGTTTGGTTTGGTTTGGTTTGGTTTGGTTTGGTTTGGTTTCAAGACAGGGTTTCTCTGTGTAGCCTTAGCTGTGCCGGACTCACTTTGTAGACCAGGCTGCCCTTAAACTCATGGAGATCCTTCTGCCTCTGCCTCGCTGAGTGCTGGGGTTAGAGTTGTACACCACAGCACCTGGCTGGTATTGGTAACTTTCATGTTCTTAGTTGTGATTTGTTTAATGAATTATAAATAAAAATGAATATATAAATAAAATCAATCAAAGAAAGAATAGATCAAGCTTCCCCAATATCTTTGTCAGAAAGGACTACTAGTTATTTTTAAAACAGGGTGAGAGCAAAATGTGAGTCATAGAATGGCTTAAACATACTCTGCAGTTGCCAGCAAACTAGGGAGTGTGCCATACTTGTATCAGATGGCTTGGCTTTCAGATCCGTCAGAAGACATGTTGGTTGGTAACTGTGATGTATAGAGTTTTAGCTGCCTCTGCTAGGCTAAATTTGAAACTCTGACTTGAATCATTTTGCTTCTTAGTGCATTAGACCATGGTTGATGCAACAGGGGACATGCCCCACCTGCAGACTCCATGTTTTGCTTCCAGAAGAAATCCCTGGCCACCCCAACGGGCAGTTACCCAAGATCTGATACAAGGCAGGTAGCTATACCTAAGATCAGTTTTAGACATTGGAATTTAGTTCTGCTTTTTAATGAGCTAATTGTATGAGTAGTATTATGCAGCTTTGACCAGCTAATCACACCAGAGCTGAGCCAAATTGATCAAGACAGATCTAAAGCACATGTAATTTAAATGGAAGGGACTTAAAGAAGATGGGATTTTGATAGTTGCATTTTATTGCTCTTCATAAGATTTTCCATCTGTAAACACAAGACCTGTAAACATGAGTATTCATATTTCTTAGAATGTCCTGTCCTTTATTCCTTCATACTCTATTGTCCTTTACTTTCTCTCAAGTATGGTACATTTTAATTTCCTAAAATAAATTTAGGAGAATGACTAGGAAAATTCTATAGGTTTTAGTTTTCTTTTTAACTTTAAAAGCTTGGTGTTAAAATATAATTATTATAAGTTATTTTTCTATCTTCTGAAATAGCTACCCTTGGTGAGATTATGGACTCTTTGACACTGGTAATCATACAATGGTCTATAATAGTTTGTGACAGATGATTATTAAGTTTCAGACAGTGCAGATCCAGTTCGTCAAATTGTTGGTGCCATGAAATCTCCACAATAATTAGACTGTAGAAGCTGCAAGTAATATTTGTCTTTCCCCCTAAGAGCTAGTTAAAAATCACACCACAAGATGCCTATATTTTTAATATTTAGCAAAACAGATACAGAATAAAGTTAGATTTGAAATGAAGAGATAGTAAAATGGGCAGATATGCAAATTAAGTAATTTGCTGGGATGACTAATGGAGATCTTACATTTCTTTGTAAAGATATTCTTTAGATCTTAATCATTTTCATTTGTGAGATACCTACTTTTTTCCCTCTTTAAAAATGTCTGCTTTTCGTAACTGTTCTGGGGAAGAGAGGAAGCCGTGCACATGTACTTGCTTCTGCTGTGACGGAGTTGATGTTCACTAGACCAATTGCCTATAAACAGCTTGTCCTTGGGAATACCAATTCTTAGACAACAAGTCTATTTTAAAAAATAATGTAATGCTGTAATGTTGTACGTGCCTGTACTTTTAAACCTAAACAAAACCATAGTTACTTTGTGAGACATATATTCCTTGGTTCATATTCCCAATCTCGATGTCATTAAATTTTTTTGGGGGGAGTGGTTGACTTGGAAACATGTTTTTGTATATTTCAGTGTAAATGTATGTTGAAGCTACTGTGAATATCTATTTAAAAATGCAATGCCTGTAATTGTATGGTAAACTTTTTTTATCTGAAAATAAACTGAAAAATGTGAAGAAAAATACTTTTTAGATGTCAACATTTGAGTGGGTGATATGACTCAGCAGATAAAAGTGCTTGTGGTGCAAACCTGATGACCAGAGTTCTATCTCTGGAACCCGCCTGGTGAAAGGAAAAAACAACTAACGTGTGAACTGTCCTCTGACCTCCCCATTAACAGTGTGACTTGTGTGTGTACAAGCATGCAATACACACAGATGCACAAAAGAGAAAGGGAAGAAGGAAAGAAAATGGAAAGGAGTGGAAAGAAAAAGAAAGAACTTTTAATTAAATAGTGCCATTTGTCTGTATATAAAGAGTCAACATTGTGTTGGAATTGCAGAATTTAGAACTTATGGAACATTTAATCATTGTGGTTATGTAGCAAGTTTTTTTGTATTAGTTAGTTCATACTTATAATTTGTTTCTTAGTTCATGTTTATAAACTGTTATTTCATTTTTTGTGGAAAATAAATATTTCTGAATTGAACTACTGTTTTTCTATATATTCATCTTAAATGTATCCAAAATTACTTTAATTTCCTCTTTCAGATGTCTTTTTCTGTTGAGTTGTACTTAAATTTTTCTTTTGAGGAAATAATAGGGAAATATGTAAGTTGGCAGTAATCCCATCTTGTGAAATGCCAAGAATATCTGGGATTATTAGAATACAGAATCTTTGTGGACCCAGTGCTTTCCCTATCTGTCTCCTCTGTTTTGCAGGTGTGTCTTCCCCAAAGACACATGGCTGCATAGTAGATAAGCCACCTGGTACTTATGGGTCCTGATGCTGTGCAACATTCCTCCTTTACAAGTTCATGTACTAGAGTGATAGTAGTGATGGCCTGTCATTCTTGGCTTCAAGTAAGGGGCCAGAAGTCATAACACAGGCACTGGTGTGCAGTCAGAATGGAGACAGTAACCAACAAAAATCATGTCTACTTCTGCAGATGCTGAAGTTATTGGATCTGTAAACTTGGTAATACACAATTGAGTTAACTTTCTTCTGAGGATTTTATCCTGCTCAGAAGACTACTTAATGACTAGAGAGCTCCTAGCATGGCAATATTTGTATCAAAAATATTTTGGGGGGGCACAGTGAGTAAAGAGTGCTTACTGCCTAACCATGAGGACCTGAGTTCAAATTTTGACACCCACATATAAAAAATATTACATATTCTAACTAGGAGGTGAAGACAGAAGGATCTTGGGAACTTGCTGGTCAGCCAGCCTACTCAAAATGGCAAGACTTGGGTTCAGTGAGAGAGTCTATCTCTGGGGAATAAGGTAGAGAGAGGTAGAACAGGAGACCTAGAGCCACCTTCTGGCCTCTGCACATGCGCACAAGCATGCATGCCTGTGTATGCACATGCACAATTTTTAAAACAAGTATTCTCAAAGTATCTAGTAAATGCTATAACTCCTACTGGAAAATATGCCTTATGATGTTTTTCTTTCTATGTGTGTGTGTGTGTGTAACTTGCTATAGCTTTTATAAGATAGCTTCAGATGTCTTTGGTACATTGAATGACAAATAATGACAACTTTATATTACTATGATTTCTTTACAAGTGATGAATCACAAGGCTCAGATAAGGGTGAAATAATTTATTCAAGGTGGCAATTAGAAGTAGTACAAAGTAACATTTTGGGATTGTAATACAGGTCTTCTGTCCATTAGCTAGTGTTCCTACTAGTATTGACACCTACATCCAGTTTTGGATTTACTTTGAACATAACAAAAGTAGCACTTACTACTTCTTAAGTAATTATCTTCAAATTAAACAAGATCGGCAGCATAGTAAGCCAACTGTTTTCTATTAGACTTATGGTATTGGGTATATAAAATACAAAGAAATGGTAGTGATATGACTTCTCATTATGGTTTATTTAGGATGGTTCCAGTTTATTGATGCTCCTTTTCATTCCTTAATCTTTCCCAGCTTTAAAAAAATTAATCAAATTCTATGGTTTGTGAAAGAAGGCTTCGTTTTCAGATTTGTCAAGAATGCCCTCCATTTGTAAGCTGTACCTACATAATGTATTAACTATTCAGATAAGAATTCTGATTGGGGTAACTTTAGTATACTACTTTAGTATAAACCTGATAAAGACAGTAAATGAACATGGTAGTTTCTAGTTCCTAGCTGTGTAGCCTAGAAGGTGCTGTTCCGAAGATCCAGTACAGATTCTAGGCTGCCATCATGATGGTGTATTTATACAAATGTATATTCCAAGCAGCCATCTGGAAATATGCCTTAATAGGGAACACTATAAATGGTCTAGCATGCATCAAATTTTGGAAGCCACTGGTGTGGTAGAGTCTGGTTTTCTTGGGTAAGTCTAGGTTTGATTTTTTTAATATTCATATTTGGATTATGTATGTGGACCATGTAAGTATCAGAGAAGGGTGTCAGTCCCCATGGAACCAGACTTCTAGGTGGTTGTGGGGTAGGTACAGGGCCTGGAACCTGGGTCCTTTACAAAAGCACTAAGTGTGCTTGACCACTGTGCCATCTCTCCAGCCCCAAAATGTGGATTTTGCTTAACTCCCAGAAACATTATGTGAAAATTTTAAAAAATTAACTTTTCAGTTGCTTCTTTTTCTAGAAAATAGCAACAGGAACAACTACCTGCTGAGAGCTACTTTATTAAAGAAACATTTAATTAGTTTTCTCTCCCATATGAAGTATCAAACTTCACATGGCTTATTGAACGTATTTAAACTTATTTCTTCACCCCCCAAGGGAGGAGCAATCCTGTTAGGCCACAGAGGAGAGCTTTGCAGCCAGTCCTGAAGATACCTGATAAAACAGGATCAGATGAATGGGGAGGAGGTCCCCCCTATCAGTGGACCTGGCAAGGGGCACGGTGGAGATGAGGGAGGGAGGGAGGGAGGGACTGGGAGGGAATGAGGGATCGGGACACAGCTGGGACACAGAGTTAATAAAATGTAACTGATAAGAAAAAAAATAAAATTAAAAAAAAACATTTCTTGTTGACAAGCTATATTTTTTAATGATCCACTGTGGATAAGTTAAAGAGATTATAGCCATTAGTTCTACCTCTAAGCTTACAAAACTCCACACACTATCACACCCTCATAACCTTGGTTTAATCTGTTTGAATTACATGAACTATAGTGCACCTGGATACTGCTTTGACAGGTTGAACAACCAACAGCAATATTTAATTATAGATGGCTTTCACTATGAAAAAAACATATATATATATATATATATATATATATATATATATATA